CGTAATAATTACTTTTACCACTTTCAATATCCTATGTTAAATGGTCTTATAACCAATTCAGTTTTCCATTCCAATGTATTTTATTTAATAGTTTTCTTCCCGTGCAAATTGTTTTTCGTAATCGCTCCGTACTGAATCAAGTGAAGTCTCACTCTTATGACTAAATTGCCTCCTCACTTGTCTGGCTGTTAATTTTAATTTTTCTACCGTGACTCTCACAAACTTTCTTTCAATCCTCCTGTCTAGTCAAACCATCCAAAAGATGTTTGCTAAACCGGAAGATGTCGCAAACGTCTTTTGAATTATTTGAGCCCTGTGTTTGAAAATTTCCCGCCGCCCGATTATCGCTCATTAATTCATTTTCTTATTCAAAGTCCTGCACCTTTATTTCAGTTCAGAGATTTCACCGTAAGTAATCAAATAATGCTCAATTGCAATGTGTTTCGTAGGCACATTACACTAATGTTAAGAAGACTGAACAACAGCGACTTAGAAATACTGTCTATAAACATGACTTTATCATCTCAGATTTTTCATTGGCTCAATAGTTTTGCTTGACCTTTTTTCAGCTTCATGTTGTTTTAAGCGGTGAATCTTCTATTAAACGAATCCTACGAAAAGGTGACTACTGATTTTCCAGTCCTCAGGGTCTACAGACACTACGATGAAAGCATACTGCTAAACACTCTGAGCTAATTAATAAAATAAAACATTTACTTAAATATTTGTATCTATAAAAATAACGCGTAAACCGAAATTATATTCAAATAAATGTCGAACTTAGTCCATTTCATAATATATGTTGTCATTTATTTACGTTAAGATAAGCTTCGACCAGATCTGAACGTTCAAGAAAGATCGTGGAAAATTTGTTCATTGAAAAACAGTAATTTGACTTTGCTACCCAAACACTTCCTCGGTAACTAAATGGTATAACACGTCAGGCCGAATGAAGGTTCTATGTAGGTTACAGGTTCGAGTCCTGGTGGAGAACACATATTTTCTACGAAATTTCTCAGGCTGGTAAATGTAATTAATAGTGATTATTATAAACACAGAATTTACTTATATAAAAATAAAGTAGAAAATATATTAAAACAGAGTCCTTATATATATGTATTGAGTATTATGCAAGTTAGGTTATGCAAGTCCAATAAAAGTCTTTTTTCCTTAAGAAATTATTAATTCATTCCGTCTAAATTTCGGATCCTTATTTTTGTTTCGAATAAATAGTTAGATATATACGATCTAATGATCAACACAACATCAATAAAATGATGCCAATTTTAATAATAAAAATATTAATTAACGAAAATATTAAATATATCTCAATAATAATGCCAAAATAATGAAGCAAAACAGATGATATGAACTACAACGTGAACTACAACGTGAACACTTGAAATGAAGAAAACTATATCATTGCACAAATGGACAAAAAGGTTTTGATAACATGTAATATCTATCTATCTATCTATCTATCTAGCTAGCTATCTATCTATTTATCTATCTATCTATCTATCTATCTAGGTTGGTAGATAGATTATGTTAATATAAAAGCGTATACTGAGGTCACCACCTGTGGTGTCAGTTTGTTTCATGCATGAACACAATCTTCAAGACTGAAGATTTTGTTCAGGCACCAAACAGTCTGTCGCTACTCGGTGTTGACAACAGTGTGCAAGTAATCATATAGAAGCAAATGAAAGAAAAGAAGAAAAAAGAAAATAGAAGAAAAAAAGGGAAAAACAAGGCTAAGGAATGAGTGGAAAGAAGAGAAGAAAAAAGAAGGAAAAAGAGAAACACGTAGATATATTTTGGAACACTGATTTCTTTAAGAAATTGTAGGTCATTATTTGGCTTAATGTCATGAAAGAGTTCTTTCATGTTGGTTGGTTTGTTTGTTTATTTTGTTTAGCGGCATATCAACAACTCTATGGGTTATTTAATGACGGATTCTAAATAATTTTAACCCTATTTTATGGCTAAATATGTTTTGAATGCAGCTGTATGCCTTCAAATATAAACAAAATTCTATTGTTGGTAATTTTACTATAAATAGGTTTTTTGTTGTTTTTTTTTATTTAAAAACGTATTGCTGATATTTTTTCTATAAAAATACATTTTTAAACTTTTGGGTGTTTTCCTTGGTGGTCTATATGTAGCCATAGCTGGGACTCTAATAAGTACTACCATGCCGCTTCAGGTTGGACCTGGGATCAACAGCAATTTAGAGGCAGATCCATGCACGCCAAAACCTCTAATTTCCCGAACAGAGGCCTTGCTGCCGGATGTAGTTTATCGTCATACCCAGGACTAGAGTGTCATCTGCGTATCTTATATTGGTAAGATAGTGACAACAATAAATCTTTTTAGGTTCACCATCTCCCTTAGACAAATGTTGAATAAATATGATAAGAAGAGACATCCTGTTTTCTGACTCTTCCTCTCTTCAGCATTTTTACTCTCTCTCTCTCTCTCTCTCTCTCTCTCTCTCTCTGTATTTATAATGCTATTTCTACGCTTTTTCAAATAGTTATGGAACTATAGTTATTTCCACTTGCCTGTTCGGTTATCTTTGATGTCTTTTTCTCTAAAGTTACCAATATTCTATTCTTAATTTTCCCATTTTCCTCATTTCACATCGCCTGGAATCTGCTTTTTCTTTTTAGCTGAAATTTGGTGACATTTTCTCTGGCGTTACTTGGACACGTTTTCCTTCTGAGAACTAGTTTGTTTGTTTCAATATTAAAATTAAATTTGATTCTACAAGGTACCCTTTTATGATTGTTTCCGACATTGACTTTATGACAGTTAAAGCTAATGGTTCAATCAGCAATTATAATATTATTTCACTTTTTTTTTGTTTCACGATTTAGTTCTTCTCCAGAACATTTATGACAAATATATTCATTATTGTCAGTTCGATTATTCTGTGAAATTAACATATACTATGTGATTAATGCCAGGAAATGCCAAATAGTCTGAATAGAATTTAATATCCTTGAGGAAGATTTGTTCGAAAAGAAGTTGATCTGTGTTAACCCCAATAGGGTTGCTCAGTTCTTTAAGGACACGTCTTTTAATAGCTCTATTTTTTTTCTGATTTGTTCTGGTTATCATTTCTTTTTGATCGCTTTCTTTTATTACCCTATCATCTCGTTTATTTATAAATAATGACAAGCATGAAGCTAACTCAGTATATGAAAAGGCACGCTGTAATTGTTGTCTTTAAGACTGGGCATAATGATTTAGAGATTGTTCGATTCCTGAAAGTTGCAGGGTTGTTCATTGTTCGAGATCGCAAAGAGCTGGAAGCAGCATACGTGAATTCTACAGCAATAGGCAAACGTAAAACATCTGTTAAGTGTTCTAATGTCACTAGAACACAAACAAATCGGGCGTAGTCGAGCGGTAAATCAATCAATGCTCCTATAACAGGATAAAATCTCTGAAGTTCCACATAATTAGTGTTCTTTACTCCCCTCGTACTGGAGAGCTCTTAAGCGACGGCATCAATTCCATAATAAAGTATCATTCTTCTCTCTCGCGGCCTGTGATTACTAGTCGTTTTGAGTCCAGAGATAAAAGAATTTCACAAAAGGGAATTTTAACTTAATTATTTCATTAACGTTAATGTCGACATGTTCTATCTATCCAGTTGGGTCGTTTGAGAAAGAATACACGTCTACATTATTTGAAGGTTAAGACTCGACTCACTGAAAAGACTTTCTCTATCTACCGTTCTCACGCTTGCTCAGTCAATCAAAATCGACTTCCTTGTTTTGTCTTCCATCTGACCCCAAAGATCAATCTCAGGAAGTCCGAACAGAGATACATATCCACTAAAAATAATAGTATGCTAAACTCTTAATTACCACTAGCAGAATTTCAAAAATAGATAAAAACCATCTGACTCTGGCACGTCACAATATCATCGGCAGATTTATTATCTCTTTATCTCAAGACGAGACTTAAGATTATTTATATCATTTTTTTCTAAAATAATGCTCTTCTTTCATGACGTGTGTCTTTTACTAAATGCATGCCTATGTCCTCAAAACACTGAGTAAAACTCTATGGACCGACGCCAGATTATACCAAAATAGACTTTGCATTCAGTATTACACAGAGCTTCAGAGAATCTAGGTGCATCATCGTGTTGATATAGAAGGTGAGCCTATAGCCACCACGTAGCTTCACAAATACATGTGAACAGATGGTCGACCCAGCTGGGCTTATGACCGGTACGCGTGGTATAACCGGGTGATAGGTAGATACATAGACATTCCACCGGTGAGACTAAAGGCAGTTTCTCGCATTAACGCGAGAAGAAGAATCAGGCACCGAATTCTGAGGTTAAATAAATATTAATTTTCCGTATGAAAGATTTAATCCTGTAGTATTTATTAGTATTTGAAACAATAACAGAAGTTGTTTTCCTATGTGATATCGGCATAGATAAGAAAAATGTATGAAAGAATATGATATATCACCGATAAATATAGACAATACGTCACCATCTTATTCACAAACATATTGGTTCTTTGAATATAACGATACCATAGGCTATATAAACATTTTTGTGGGTTAGACAAAAATTTATTTAAATAAACATAATATAGCGAAAGTGTTTATTTTCTTGTTTATTCAATGACATAATCAAATTCTTTTTTTAGGTGTTCGCTGACATTGCAGCTGTCGCAATAAAAATGATTCTAACAGACAAAATACAAAGAACCACGAAAGCGTTGAAGTGACAGTTCACCTCATAGCTACAAGATATTCAAGGCTTACAGAATAACAAGAGGCTATATTATCCCACCCAGCTGAGAGGAAATATACAGAGTGTCTTTCTCTCTCTCATCCTCGCGAGAAGGAGATTAACATTCAAAGTGACACATCTTCCCCATACAAACACATCGACGTCCAAGTGACGATGTCAAAAAGCAATAGTTTTACACATAAGAATTTAATCTTGACTTTTTATTCATCTGTACGGTGATAACATTGCTATTATATTTTTAAATTATGATGATAAAATATAACGAAAGCCTTATGCTATATAAATATATCACTAAATATAATTATATTACGTTATATAGAGAAATCATTATAGTATATTATTATATTACGATATATTATGATACATACTGAAATTCTTAGTTTTAAAAAAGACATACAATTATCGGTTATAAGTATTTCTTCGAAATAAAGACAGTGACCCCCACATTTTGGTGTATACTATACATATTGAGCCGATAATATTAAGAAAAACATGTCCTACTTTATCATAAAAAGATACAATTAATACTTCATAAAACATACTTATATATCATTCTATTGTGTTATATTATCAAATCATTATATTATAATTGCGTGTTATGTGATTCACACTCAGAAATACCAGAAGTTTTGACTGTAATTTAGTGTCAATAAGGACGGTTGATATAAAAAGAGTTGATGTGTAGTGACCCCAATATTTACTTGGGTAACGCGAATGGATGCCAATTAGACACTGTACTCTGTCACACGAGAACATCAGAGAAATCAGGTGCATGAGTGCGATGACCTGAAAGTTGACTTTGTAGCCACTGGATGCATATTTAAGGTGTACAGAATGATAGGAAGCTATATAATTCTTCCCATCTGAGAGGGAATATACAGAATGTATCTCTCTCTCATCCATGCGAGAAAGAGATTAACGTTCGAAGTGACACATCTTCCCAGTAAAGACACACATTGACGTCCAAGTGCTGATGTCAAAAAACAATACTTTTACATATCAAGGATTTAATCTTGTTTTTTTTTTTTTGTTTTTTATCTGTACAGCGACAACATTGCTATTATATTTTTTTAGGTTATAATGTTAATATATAACGAAATCATTATGCTATATAATTATATCGCTAAATATAATTACATTATGATATATAGGGAATCAATATAGAATATTATTATATTACTATATAATATACACTGAAATTCTTAGTTTTATAAAAGGTTCGCAATCATCAGTTTTATGTGTTTCTTCGAAACAAAGAAGGTGACCCCCCAAATTTTGGTCTATATTATACATACTAAGCCGATTATATTAAGAAAAATATGTCGTACATTATCAGGAAAGAATGCAATTAATATATCATAAAATATTCTTATATATCATTCTATTCTATTATATTATATTATGAAATCCTTATATTACATTATTGCGTAGTATTTGATTCCCGTCCAGAAGTAGCAGAAATTAATGTAATTTAATGTCAATAATGCGCGTTTGATATAAAAGAACATATCTGTGATGACCGCAATATATACTTGGTTAAGCCTAATAGATGCCAAAGAGATATTGTCCTCTTTGTCACACGTGAGCATCAGAGAAACCAGTTGCATGAGAATGTTGACCTGGAAGTTGACCTTGTAGCCACTAGATGCATATTCAGGGAAATTATTATACTACACTATTATATTTACGTATGTGTAATTTAATCTTGTATTCATAGTCTATATAATGATAACATTATATTTCTAGAAAATCCATGTTTAAAGAAAAACCTCCATCCAATGTTCGACACCTTAACACCAATGCTAATGATGTCAGGAGGTGAATAAACAATAATTTTGCGTATGAAATAATCTCGTGTTCTTATTTGTCTGTACAATGGTAACATTATAATATCTAGTTCCAAAAAAGACATCAGTAATATCCTTCCGTTGGATAGTAGTTATCGGAGATGATTATTCATGTGATACAGTCATCTAGGGACCGTCAGTTAAATAATGAACAGTAACTGGTATCACAGGGACAAAATATCACAATAATCAAAAGATATCACATATCATCCAATCAATGGACACCTGATGATGACCAGGGGGTACTTGGTCGAAACAATGAGTTTACAAGAACCAAGATGAGAAGAAGAGTTCGAAATAATACAAGTTTAAATTATTTATATTCGGACTACTGTCCTCATCGTTTCGTTGTGTCCTCTGGCTTACATCAGGTGTATATCGATGTGGGTAACCAACAGGGAATTCTGAACTGAATCATTTTTACTTATTCTCTGACGTGGGGACACTGTTCTTGTTCCACTGCTCATGTCTGGGGATGTGAACTAGTTCTTGTTTTATGCTGCTATTGCTTTCCATCGTTTGATTTGCTGTTGCAGTTGAATAATGATAATTCCGCATCCCAGAAATTCAGACAAAAAAATACACGTTTCTTATAATATCATTTTCTCCCTTTTCTTTTCCCTTTTCCTGAATTAACTTAGGTTTTCCTGCTTTTGTGTTCGTTACTTTTGCATTGAATCTGTCCTTCAAAACGATCTCACTTATGTTCTCTCTGTCTATAGCTTTCGTCATAAAAAAAACCTTCAATATTCTGATCAGAACTATTCAATGTTAAGCATATCTGCTTCTCTGGCAGAAGTAAGTTCGATCTCCGACTTGACTATTGCAGAATCATCCTCTACTCTTGATTAGTGGAAGAAACGGACG